ACACACACACACACACACACACACACACACACACACACACACGGTGATTTAAAAATAAAATAAGCCAGGAGGGCATTTTCTCTACCAAAACCAAAACAAAACAGGGAAGTCTTTAATAAGAAAGAAGCAGGAGCATGCTGTCAGAGCTCTGTGGGAGAAACTTTTATGGCAACCTGCCTGGTTTAAACCAGATGGACTAGTCTTTTCATGAGAACTAAGATTTACTCTCAAAATACAAAAATATTATTTTATAAGGGAGAAAGGAGGGAAAAAGCTAGTCCTTTGCAGAATGAACTCAGACCCTCACAAAAAGCAGAAAAGTTTTTGCAATTTTCCTGAAATGCTTTACAGTACAGAATACAATAAGAGTTAGGGTGCCCCTCATTTCCCATTCCGTTTGAGTTTAGATGTTAACTACGGCTTCATCTGAAATGACTGAAGCTGAGAACAAAGTTAATTCAGCAGTCCTAATTCAGACACTCCATCCCTACCGAGTTCTGGCTCCTGCCCACTTTAGAGAACACACTCCAACAAATGGGCAGGTGTCCAAACAGGGATCCAACTTCCAAGCCAGCCCTAACTTCAATCTGTGCGCAGGCCTTATCAGATTTAGCTAGGAAGCTTACAACCTCAATCCGTTCCAAGAAAAGGAACGCGGCTCAATATGTTCACTACTTAAGTGAGTCAATTTCCACAGAGCAACAAGCCTTTTTCTATTTCTGTGCCGGTTTCTGGCCACATTCTCAAACTGGCAGCTTTCCTTTTTAATAGGTACGCAGAGTTGGTTAGTGGGGGGGGGGGGGGTTCCCCCTCTTACTTTCAACGGAGATATGTTAGCAGAATCTCCTTGAAATTCTCTAAATGTACACCTGTTCCACTAGAGCCCAAGGTGAACTAACCGCACAGAGCCCAGACGAAATTCAGGGCACGTCAGTTTCAATAGGAAGAGGACTTCCTAATAACCTTATCCACAAGATTGTTCCCTGGGATGTCTCTGGGAGGGATAGTAGTTTTTCCCCCCTACAATCTCTAGGTAAGAGAAGGCCTTTCTCTTTCTATTCACCTTCCCAGCTCAAAATACTCATTCCTAGGCTAGCTCCAGCCAGATTTTTCCTTTCCAAAAAGGTTCCTGATTCCTCCGCACAGGAGAGGAGAAACCCAAATAAAGCAGAATTTCCAGCCAAGAGGTGGATGGCTACAGGGGAGGAGAGAGGAGTCGGGGAAAGAGTCAGGCATCAGCAGAGACTCTAAGCTAGCCTATAGAGTGGCTGGCATACATGCATCTAGATATAGGTGCCTCCGGTGAGCCCCGGTTTCCAAACCAACGCCCTGGTGTCCTCGGGGTGGGGTTGTCCCAGACGATCGGCGAAGCAGGCAGCCGGTCCCCGAACTTGCCATGCCACCGCTCAGTTCTGGCTTATTGTTTGCTTTTCCAGGACACATCTGCGAAGGTTATCGGGCAGCCCCAATCCCCAGCCCCTACCTCCAGCAGAAGCCACAGCAGCAGCGAGAGGAGGATCCTCCACGGAGCGGGCTTCATGGCTCCTTCTCTGCTCCGGTCCCGGCGGCAGGAGAAAGGGCGTGCGGCTCTCCCCTCCGTCCTCCGGTTTCAGAAACGCTGGCGAGCTGTCAGCGGAACGAGCCCCCTCATCCTGTCCCCAGAGGGGAGGAGGGACGGTGGGTGGGAGCAAGCCTGGGAGCCGCCTGCGTGCCTCAGGGCGCGCCGCCCTCGGGAGCCGGAGCCCAAGGAGAGCCCGGGAACGGAGCGAAGTCCTGGGAGTGACCGACGCCGCTCCGCTCTCCTAGCAGATGCAGGCTTCCCCGCCCCGCGAGCGCGCGCGTGCGTGTGTGTATGTGTGTGTGCGCTGGCTCTCTCTCTCTCTCACACACACAAACAGACACACACACACACACTCGCACACACACGCAGTGGGCGTGCACGGTTCAGGAAGGAGGCGGAGGCGGAGAGCCGGGCCGCTCGCTGCTTCTCCCCCCTCCCGCGGGCTCAAGCCGGGGAGCCGGCTGGCATGACGGACGGCAGAGGGAAATGTGGGCGCGCCCGGGCGCGCGAGGCCGGAGCCCGGAGCCCGGAGCCCGGAGCCCGGAGCCCGGAGCCCGCACACTGGGGATCCCGCGCGGGGAGAGCTCGCGGCTGCCAAGACACTCACTCCCAGGGCAAGGCTGGGATGGGGGATGGTGAGGCAGTCTCCTTCCCCCACCCCCGCACCGAGCGCACCCTGCGCCCCTGTTCCCGGATAGGGAACGTTGGAGGGGACTGACGGGAACTCAAGGGGCGAAGGTGAAGGAGGCCCGAGCTGAGGGACACAAGAGGGTGAAGGACGAAGAAGCTTGGTCCAGGAAGGGAGGGGGCGGAAACTAACTGGAGAAGAGCTGGGGAGGTGAGCCAATGGTTAGGGAAAGCAGCCCCCCCCCCCATAAGCAAGGAATAGTAGGCCTCTGAAGGGCAGGATAGCCCCTATCCCACCCACCCCCCTACCAGCGCGAGAATGAAATGAACAGAGGAGGCAGAAGAAATAGGGAGTGGCAAGGATTCCTTAGCATCGCGCCTCCCTTAGTTATACCGGGGGAGGTCATACTTCCCGACCTCTCCCCCCACCTTATCTCCTACTGTAAGCAATGGAATACATACGTCTCAAGTCCCCATCGGTGTATGGGGTGAACGCAGCAGAAGAAAGCCATAACGAAAGCCAAGATTAGGAGTATGGAGATGGACAGGTGTAGTTCATATGGGTGCTGTCCCTTAGGACACCAATATCCCCTTTCTTTGATTTAGCTATTGGAGTCCATAAGTACTTACTAGAGTAAGGTTTTTGGAAACTTAATTGACCATTTATGCCACTATTAATATAGTGTAGCACGAAGGTTACTGGGTTTACAGTCAGAAGATAGGTTCAGATTTGGATTCTGCCATTTACTATGCAAAGTTGGGGAGTCACAAAAACCCCCGGGGTCTTAGATCAGCTGAAAATATGAATGGGTTGGCCTGGATCACTTCTCAGATCCTTCCACTGCTAGACATGTGACCCAATGATTCCTAAGTCTTTGATTCCGTTGCTTGCCAAGTCAGACTTTAGGGATTTGAGAATCACAAAATTCAGTCTTTCATCACTGGACTCTGTATATTTTCTATGTATCTTAGCAAAAGTCCAAGGCAGACAAAGGAGAAATATCGATGCCGCCCTTACCTCCAGCTGCTTGCAATCTAGTTGAAGGAAATAAGAAAATATGAAAAGATAGCAACTAAAAGACTGTAAGGTTAAGTGAGCAGGGCAGACAGAGTGCAGAGAAGAGTTGACTACAACCTTCCGGACTAGAAGCATCAGGCCTCCTAGAAGAAAAGAGGCTGTAACTGAGATCTAAAAGTTGGATTGGTTTTGGATGGGCAAATGGCTGTAGAAATAGCATGAACAAGGGCTCTGAAACAAAGGCAGCACATTTGTAGGCAGGGTCAAGTTGTATCTGGTGGGAACAGAGGCTTTTGAGGAGCAGTAGAAGAAATGTTAGACAGGTAGGGCAGAGTTAGATTGTGCAGGGTCTTGACTGCCAACCTAAAGAGTTTAGATTTTATGCTAGAGGCATTTTTTTCTTGTTATTGAGTCATTTCAGCCATTCCAACTCTTTGTAACCCCATTTGGGTTTTCTTGGTAGAAATACTGCCACTTTGACATTTCCTTCTTCAGCTCATTTTACAGATGAGAAAACTGAGGCAAACTGGCTGAAATGACTTGCCCAGGGTCACATAGCTAGCTAAAAAGTGTCTGAGGACAAATTTGAACTCAGGAGGATGTTTTCCTGATTTCAGGCCCTATCAGGCTCTATCCACCGTGCCACCTAGCTGCCCAGAGGAATTAAAGAACTAGTAGTATAGGTTCGAGAGAATGGCATGAAGAAAATGAAGTTTTAGGAAGATTATCTTCGTAGCAGGATGCAGAGTGGATTGGAGGGAATAGACCATGGACAAGACAGATTTGTCTGTTTGTTCTATTTCCATTCTGTATTCTATAATCTATGATCCTAAAGCCAGTCAGCAAAATGATGCAATTATTCAAACCCAGATGACTGGGAGAATGGTGAAGTTATCAACAATATGACATGTGCTGTTACTTTATAGTGATGTCAATTTATGAGTTTAGATTGTAAAGATGTTTGTTTCCTCCTGGTACTAACTGTGCCATAGTTAGGTACCACCAAGTAAGCAGCTAGGAGGCGAAATGAATAAAGTGCCAGGCCTGAAGTCAAGAAGACTCATCTTCTTGAGTTCAAATCTGGCCCCAGACACTTACTAGCTTATGAGTCACTTAACCCTGTTTGCCCCAGTTTCCTCATCTGTAAAAATGAGCTGGAGAAGGAATTGGCGAACCACTCCAGTATCTTTGCCAAGAAACCCCCAAAATGGGATTAGGAAGAGTCAGACACAACTAAACAACAACAAACCACCAAGAAAATGGCGATTCTTGGCTGCATGAGCATATCAGCTGGGCTTCTTCCAGCTATGGCTAACTAACAATTCTACTCAGTTATGTTACTATAAAAAGAAAACTTATTACTGAGTAACAAGGATAATTGACTAAACACTAATTACTGACTTTTAAAAGTATTTTAAATAAAAATAGAAATAATAGCAAAATTTAAAGAACCACCAAAATATAGTACTTTCCTAACTGAATTTCACCTGTAATTTCTCTTCACTTAATCTAATCATAATTTTCCCTGCCACAGCTAAATTGGAAACCTATGCTATACTCTTGACCCTAGGACAGATGCACTGGGACTTTAGAATAGCTTTGGAAAGGGGATTTTCATGACTTCTCTTTCATAAGTGGTCCATTGCTGTTGAGCCAACTAGACAGTAAACTATTTCTCAGGAAGGCTGATGCTCAATTGCCTTCTGAACAATGCCAATTAACCAGCAGAGAGCTCCTTATTTACACTGCCTTCTCTGTATCTTTTGTGCAAAAGGGAAATCATGCATTCTTCTCCATTTGGTTTTATAGAAGTCAGGAAAAGATATCAAACCATGAACATGCATCCACTTGAGTCCACAATTCCAATGGCTTTGCAATCCTTTGATCCCTTTTCTACATCGAGAGGTCTTTTTCCCCCTTTCTCTATATTTCTCCATTTATCTAACATAGATTTTGAAGTTCAAGTTTATATAAAAGTTAATTTGTTTTAAGTACCTTTAGGTTTTCCTTTAATCACTTCAATAAATATCTGGCCCACTTTAAATCTGCTTGTTGAAGGATTCATAACTTTTTTTTCAAAACTTGCATTTTATGATACATTTTTATTAAATAGGACAATTTTTAAATGGAGAAATAATGCTATACTCAATAGGTAAGTTAAGAAGAGTTGAGAAGTGAATGAGAGGAGAGAAAATGATGGCAATAAAATAAGACAGTTCTTCCCATCCCCCTTCCCTTACTCTCCAGGAATTTGGTTGTGGAAGAGAAGAGATAAAGGAAGATAGATTGAAGGGATGCTAGAGTCAGATGAAGGTTATTTTAAAAAAAAAAAAAAACTTGGGGAATGTTTGTAGGCAGCTGGGAATGAGCTAGGGAGAGATTGAAGATTAGAGAGCTAGACAGTAGAAGCTATCAGCTAGAAGAGATGGTAGGAGATAGAATGGAAAAGAGAAACTGATTGAGGAGTGATTAATGGATTGGATAGAAGACCAGGATGATTTAGGGAAATAGAAGCTAAAGAAAGAAAGGGTTTAGAGAAGAAGGGAGTTGTCCTAGTATTTAGAGCTAGAGCTCTTAAGGATCACCCAGCACAAATGGGGAAAAAAAAAAAAACAGCCCAGAGACGTTAAACTACTTGCTCAAGGTTGAAGTAGTGACAGAGCTAATCTTCCAACCCAGGCCTTTTAAATCTAAATTCATTGTTATTTCCACTGCACCTCATATGCCACATAGTGTTAGATACTGCAGGGAAGTCACAGAGAAGGAAGTCTGAAAATAGGGTTTGGCAAAAAGTCAGTAGGTTCATTCAATAAATCTGTTTTAAGAACCCAGTTTCCCAGGGCTTAAGGAGGGATCAAATAGTGAAAGTATGGAATTCCTCAGGGAAAGAATGGAAAGAAATAATACATACAGTAACTGAAGGAAGCAAAAACATTAAGCAAGGCTTGTTTTATTTTGAAAACGAGGAAACCTGGGCATGTCCAAAGGCAGGGAGAGAGAATTCAAGGAAGAATTCCCTGGTTTGCACCGTCCGATTTGGCAGACTGCTGCATTCTCCCCCTGTCCCATCCCTCCCATTCAACTTCCTAAGCAATCCCAAAGGTTCCTCATAGAAAAATTCAGTCACCCATTGCTGCCATAAGTCACTTGCCAACACAGTGAAATTTGCATAAATTATCTGGGTTTCTTTTGTTAGTCACATAATTACTATAATTTCAATTAACCATCCTTGGCTTTTTCTATAGCCTCCTTATTTTTGTATTTTCAGGTTTTCTAAAAGAAGCATTTTGCGATTTACCAACTTCATGATGTAAGTTAAATAAGAAAAGCTGCTGTTTATTTAGTGCTTTAGCATTTTCAAAGTGGTATATCTAAATGACCCCATTTGATAGGTGTTATTGTCCCCACTTTACAGATGAGGAAACTGAGTTTTGGGGGAAGCAAAGTGATTTTTCCATGACAGTATTTGAACCCTGATTTCTTTTGACTTTAAGTTCAGTGTTATTTCCTCTACTCCACTTTGTATTTAACTTTTGTATAGCACATTAAGGTTTTATAGACTATTGACTACTCTTTCTTCCTGGTTAGTCCCTCCTCTCTGGGCTTTTATGACACTGATTCTCTTGGTTCTCTTCATGCTTGTCT